CGAGAAGGCTGTTGCTGTTTTTTGGAACCATATAATACCCCCCCCCCCCCCCCCTTCTCCAAAAAAACTTAACCTACAATAGTGGTCGAAACCCCAGACACCCCATTCCCATACCCCAGGGGATGAAAACACCCCAGGTTGGGAACTAAGGGACTAGGAAATGATTCGCTGGAATTTCATTGCCATGACCAGTACTCGACTGCAGTAACTGAACTAGATGGGTGGGGTTCCATGAACATTAAGTGGGTTCGGTCCCTCCCAAGGAATTTGTAGGTCAAATAAATACCTCATAATAGAAGATTTTAAGTCTGTAGTTAATGCTATTTATTCATTCATTCATATATTTTTCTAATTTTGTAATTTGGGAATTGAGGGCCGTAGACTTGGTTCAACCAGTCCCTATGGTAGTTGAGCCACTGGTAATGGCTTTGTTTTTTTTTATTGCATGTTTTAGCAGATTTCACTCTCTGACTAAAATGCCAAATAATGTTTCGTTTCGTGATTTGTTCTGCAGGTGTCTCCACTTGCCATCTCACGAAATTGTTATGAATCTTCTACTCAGGGTTTTTTTATAAATCAACCAGTCAAATACTGTTCTACACAAGGTTCAATATTTTTGAAGAATTTAGGAATAGTCTTTATTTAACATTGAGTTATTGTATGTATTATCTCTTTTCCCTTATTTTTATCATTAGCAATGAAATTCCTAATACTTATATAAATAAAAAGTAGAGGTGTTCTTATGACTTTGAAAAATACCAGTTTGTCTCATGTTCATAATTAATTCATAATTAGCTAAATTAGAAGAGAATTACCAGCAAAATTCCAATGAGTGACCTATCAAGAAAGGTCAAAAGGTCTGTTTTTGTTTATCAAGACTGTATATACATGGACATTTATGATTGGTTAAAACTCCTTATTATATGCAATAAGAACATAATGATATGATTAAGAATACATCATAATTCATTAGAAACATCAATTAATCAAATATTTTGCTTAATTTGACACTAAAAAATAAGGAAACCCATCTTTATTACAGTATTTTATGAATTAATATCAAATTATGACAACTTTTGATGTTAAACTTCAACATATCATGAGTTAAAACAGAAACATGGATTCAATTCCCTTTAAAAAGGTGTGAACTTTCCAATACGGGACTTTAGGCATTTGAGCAAAGTAAGCAAATTCACATAACTATATCTGTAGAAAAAACCACAGGGACGTCAAATCTTCGGTTGCCTTTTATCAAAAGTACACTTTTGTGGTTATTTAACATGCATGGACGATCATTTGAGTTTCGTTTTGTTAAAATTAAATAGTACATATAACTATATTTTGAAATGAAAGCGGATATCACAAAGCCCACGATCCGACAGCGTGCAACACACGTGCTTCATATCCCGTTATACATACATAAATACACGCGCTTTCATCGCCTAACCGGAAGTTCCAAACCACAAGACATGGTGGCTGTATACCGTACAAAACAATCTTTATCCAATAAAAAACGAAAGTTTAATTCATCGATAAAATGGGAAGAAAACATCCTTGTCTTTGTGTCTATTTGGATACGAAATAATACTTAATATTTATAACTTATTGTCTAGAACAACAAGGCTGTGTCATTCAAACGAGGAGTGAAAATTGAAATAAAACTTTACGAGTTGAGTTCGAGTGGTTTAATGTATTCACCTCCTTTGCATTTTGATTATTTTTTTACTTCATGGACGTCAGTCGGCTAAAATTGACAACTCAGTCAATGGCGACTAGGGTAACTTACAGTGTATCTTAATTAATGGTTCGTTAATTAGTTTGACTATAGTTTGTTACAAAAGTTTTTGTTAAAAATTTCATATTTAAGATTTGAAAATCAGAATTTCGGTGTAAATGGTTTCCACGTGTGGATTTGTTATAAAAGTTCTGGGTATTAGTAAAAGATTCGTATTTATGTTTTGTAATCAGAATTTTGGTTGGAATGATTTCTATGTTTAATTATGCTATGAAGTGGTAAGGTGACACAGTAGAAGAGAATGGGAGGAAATACATTCTGATCGACACAGGTAAGAAACAGACATTTTATTTTGGTGCCTCGTGATGAATTATAAGATGTTGGAATTGAATTTTCTGGCAATTTAAAGGACGTTTAAATGTCGTTATTGAGAACTCCTTGATAAAAAAGATAAATCTTCTTCTGATATTTTGGCTGATTTGTTTGGTCAGACCTGAATTGATCTGGCTGTATCTCATGATGTTGACCATTGTGGTAGTGGCGGGATCGAATTGTTTTACTTCTAAGGAATGTTTTGCAAGTCATCGTCATGAACTCGCTTGCGGTGGGTTGGTTTATTACTTGTTTGTGTTGTTATTTGTTAGAGTATCAGAACATCTGTTAAATTCCGCGTCCTGATTGGGTCAGAGTTTAAAAGTCTGGTATTAGTCTTGAATAAGTCAATGTTCCTCATTCTTCAAATACTCCGGAAAAGATCAGTATCGTGTAGTAATGTCGGAAATCACTCTGGGTTACTTTCTATAAGGTGGAACATGTTGTACTACGGTTTGCTTAAATAAAAAGCCAGTGTCTTTTGCACTTTGTGTTAGGTCAATGGTTATCAATTCTGATGTAGAAACCTTAAAAAACATAATAAACCAAATTAACGGCTGCATCCACTCCAAACACGGTATCCATTTAAAACGGTAGAACAGTAACAAAGCTTAATATCTGAAACGGTAACAGATTAACCAAATCGGTAACAATAATTTGGTTAAAACGGTAATAAAGCTGCCAATACGGTAAGAAGTCACTGGTTAAAACAGTTACACAATGAACAATTATTCTTAATGATCAGCTCTTACGAAAACTGTCTTTTGTGGTTGTCATTTTAACACCATCATTCTACCCTGGATTAATTGATCAAAAAATCCTTAATTAGAAATAATAACTCCGGTAATTTTACTCTTGCTAAAACAATAAGACGTGTTAGGGTCAATGCCCGATGATTACAAGGGACGGTTCTTAATGGGGGGTGACTCTCATGTAGAGTTAATCCTGGGGGTAGGTATTTAAAGTAGCTATCCCGGGTCAAACTATAATCATACTGGAAGCGAAACGGACAAGATGTTTCTAATCAAACAATCCGCCTCGATCAAATTCAAGGAGTAAGTTTAAAACTTATAGTATCGTTTGTTGATTGTAGTGATGTAGGACTATAGATAAAACTAGAACGGTAAATGAGGGGGAGGGGGTAAGCTTGTTGACTCCGAGTCATAAAATTAGTGGTGTAAGTCGTCTTGAAAGCTGGTCCGAGATGTCCTTCACCCATCTTTTGATCCGTCCCGATCTACACGCTATGAGCTCATAAAATCATAATATTTAACACTACATGCAACTTGCGACGACTGCAATTTGTTATCACGTGTAGGCTAAATTCAATCAATTCACTTGCCGCAAGTTGTTGACAACAGGTGCTTGCTCTCAGACTCTGTCTGCCATCTGGACACGCACTCTCCAGCACCATTTCTCTCAAACTGGAAACATAAAAGAAAAAACAGAAAAGTGTATCAAAATTAATTTGATTTTGGCAATTTCTTTATCTTGTTGCTTACAAGGGACGCCCCCTAATTGGGACAACTCTCGTACAAACTTAATCCAGTCGAGCATGTACATTGTAGAAACGAGACCAAGGGTAAACGTGCGTTTCCATGGTAACATATTTATTCAAGGTTATGATCAAGGTCATTGACCAAATAAAATTATGAATTTATTTATTCTCATAATTTCCCAATAAACTTTTATTTTCATCCTATTTCTATAAATCTCGTTCTAATTTATAATATCTGATCTGTGGTTAATACTTGGATATGAAAGCTACTATAAAATTCGTCTTGGGTAGAAAAATAAAAATTAAAGACCAAACAATTGAGTAAATTCTCGTAAACCTCTCGTATTAAATCTTTATAGAAATTTTATACCTTTATCATGAAAACAACCAGTGCTGGATGGCGAGCAAATGAGCAGGTTAAACTCTATATTTTATAAATTTGTATATAGGTTGGAATTAGACATACCTCACTAGGATTAGCACCAGGTTCGTTAACAATTTATTTAAAGCAATTGCGACAAAACCCAGTGGTATAATAAAGTCCTGTGTATACGGCAACATTTTAACACCATGTATTATTTCACCGCGTAAACAAGGCTTATGAGTTGACATTCAGGTCTACCTTTCAATGTTTAATATCTAATATTGTTTCTACCTTCAGGATGGGGTGGTTCGAAGCGTTTCGAAATCAACAGGGATACACCTGGTATAATGACAGACGGACTGCTGCCCTGTTCGATATCCCACTCGCTGCTGTTACTTACTTCTGCACCTTGGTTGCTATAGCCGTTGTCATAGCAACACTCGGTATCCGCGGGAAAGAGGTAAGATGTATTTTTCATGACGTCACTAATCCCAACCTTGCTTATTGATATGGCCATTGTACATTAGAAAAAACGTTATGTTTAAAGAAATAAAATGTTTGTATTATGCATTACCATAAAATAAGAGACAAGTAGTAATTGTAGTCTACAAAGTCTCGTAATATAGGTCTAGTCATCTTGCAGAAAGTAAAATACTAAAATTCATATTGATCAGAAACTCGATCAGAAAATGTATTATATACGTAGCTTGAAATTTCAATTAAAAATTAAAGAAAAAGCTCGTAGATCCGTTCTATAAACAGAGTTAAAAATCTTCATTCATTAAAATCTCGTAATATCACGGTTATATCTCGTTTAATTCTCATTTTAAATCACGACACATCCGATGAATCTAACGATTTTTTTCTCTGAAATCTTTTCTAAAAACAAGATAAAGAGTCTTTGATTATGCCAATATTAATTCAATATATTACCCCAAAAAGACTTATGCAATCTTGTCCATTTTAACATACTATCTTCCAACTATTAGACATTCGAACAATTGAACGGAAGATAACACAAAACGAAAACGCGAAACCCAAACGTCCGTTAAAATAAGAAGAGTTATTTCTTACATATAGGGGGTGGAGGGGTGGGGGGCCTCCATTTTTGTTCATCTTCAAAGTCTTTATCCTGGTCTAAAGAAGTATTGTATATATGCGAAAATGTGCCTCATGATAATAAAAGTGAAAGTAGAAGCGAGATTTTGACTTTTTATCTTAATCCAAGAGTTAAGATTGATATATCACGAGACAGTATATTTATTATTATGATTGTATTTTGTAGAAATGGGGCGCTGTGGTCAGAACGTTTTATGGAGTAGCTGTAGGTTCTGTTATATTAGGTAACTGTTCATTACAATAATTATTCATATAGAATATAGGACAGACTGTAGCACAGTTGGTTAGAGCATCGGAATCCACCATGACGTCATTTGCTTGGTTACGTTGAACAGAAGCTGGTTGTGGGTTCTAATCCCCAGACTCTTTCACTCTTATTCCAGTCGACCCAGTTGTAAATGGACAAGGACCAGTTGTTTTCCTTGTAAAAAAATGATTTTTTTTAACGGTTTTACGATTTTTTCTAATATTTTATATGTATATTTCAGTAAGCCTGTACGGACATTGTTGGTTAATGGGAAAAGTTCACATAACCAGTTCTTATATATACAGATCACGTGATCAATTTTCAGGCGATGTTGGTATTGAAATTGGTCTACATAGTGCCAATGTAACGTTAAGAGGTTTGTCACATTTTTATATCTTTTCTGACTTCCGGAGTGATGTTATGTCTTATAAGCAGGTCAGTAGCTACAAAGGGGCAAAAGGGTCGCAAAAAATGGATTCCCCTCACCCTCACCAAAAACAAAAATAAGAAAAAAAAGAATTCTGTTAACGAACCAATTCCATTACTACAATTAAACACCATACACCATTGTTTCTCCGAATATATTACTTGCCCCTCCGAATATATTACTTGCCCCTCCGAATATATTACTTGCCCCTCCGAATATATTACTTGCCCCTCCGAATATATTACTTACGAATATATTACTTGCCCCTCCGAATATATTACTTGCCCCTCCGAATATATTACTTGCCCCTACGAATATATTACTTGCCCCTCCGAATATATTACTTGCCCCTCCGAATATATTACTTACGAATATATTACTTGCCCCTCCGAATATATTACTTGCCCCTCCGAATATATTACTTGCCCCTCCTAACAATCCATCTAAGAGACCGATGCTGAAAAGGTCGTTCTATTTAAATTCATGTACAAATTCAGATGAATAACATTAATGATCGATTTCATTGTTACAGTCTCTAAATGTAAAATTTCATAAATTCGCACTGGTTCTTTTTGTATTTTCAGGATATTTTGGTGAGGTTGGTAGACGAGGGGAGGTAATCTACTCAGAAGCTTTACCATGGGCAGATTGTAAGTATCTCTTTAAAACAACCACTTCATCGTATCATATCACATTTCATATTTCGGATGTGTTGCACCGTAGAAAAATAATCGTCTTAACGACCAAACAAATATTCATAATGTTTTAAATTTTACAAGGACTGATTTTACGCTGTTATGTTTTGAAAATAAGAACACGAAATTGTTAAATGATATAAATATCGACTCAAAACCTGACACACAGCATGTAGAACATTAAAGGGAAATGACTCCAACTAAGAAGAAAGGTTCTCATTTAAACCTGGTCAATGTATCTGCATATAGTTTGCAATACTCCGACATATGAAGGTGTGTCCAAAGCAGCAACCTTTCTACCGCGGTCAGATATGGCGTGAGGAGAGTATCTCATATTACACCTAATACCCAACTGTAATATATATTGTAATTTTGTTTTCAGATGGCAAAGAAGAAGGTCAAATGGAGTCCTATCTCTCTCGAGGTCTACCTGATCCTATTTTGAGGGTTGCAGCTTACCTCTGTACTGATTCTGGAGGACTGAGATGGGCTCGTGGTTTTCATATGGCAGGCAATCTGTCCTGTATTCTTCTTTGGTACGTCCATCATTTGTTTAAAAACTCTGATTGAAATATAAACAGTCAAGCAAATAAAATATTAAATCAGCCTGCGTCCCAACTGTAATTGGACAAGTACAGGTCTTTAGACAACTGACCTATATAACTCAGCCTGCAACCCAACTGAAGTTAGACAAGTAGAACTTATTCTCAACGTTTGTTAAAAGAAGTGTTCTTGGGGCCATTGATATTTGTGCACATCGGGTCTGATTCAAAGCATACAAACGACCAATGGAACTTTATTTTAGTACTAGTCTAGATAGTAATGTATACAATATACCTTTGACTTTTATAAATTAAATACGTCATTTACTATTTAATTTACATATTTTTACGATAAGTCTCATTGCACACTGCATAGCGTCCCTCGTCTTTAGTTTCTAAATATGAAACTCTGTTTTACTTAATTTTTCTTCTGTTTATTTTACAGGACTGCCTTTGCATTCTGGATTTTAACCAACATCTTGCTGTTCAGTGTAATTGTTTATGGTGCCTACTCTATGGTCCTCACTGGAATAACCATGCTATTGGCTAGTATTGTATATCACGTGTGTCAGCCTAGCCAATCATTAGCGGTACATTTTGATGACGTGGTATTAAGAACGAGTTATGGATGGTGTTTTTGGCTGACACTTGTTACAGGTAAGGGTTTCGTTATTCTTAAAGTTACGATATGACAAGTAACAAGTCAAACAGGATTCAGTAGGGACACAGGTTGAAATAGATCTGTTGTCTGAAGGGATACTTATTGAAATAGATCTGTTGTCTGAAGGGATACTTATTGAAATAGATCTGTTGTCTGAAGATCTTTACTTGTCAAACTTCAGTAGAGACACAGGCTGAAAAAGATCAGTTGACTGAAGGGATACTTATTGAAAAAGATCAGTTGTCTGAAGATCGCAAAGCAGGATAGAATAGAGTCTTTTACGGGTACAGATAAACGAGATCACATGGTCACAGCATAAAATAGGTGGCCACGTCAACAGCTTTCTCATCTCTTGTCAATAGATTTTCCTTTATCAATAAGTTGAAAACATGTGGTCAGCCTTAAATTTTACCCCTGTTGCTATATTTCCCTGTGTTATATTTTCAGGTGGCCTAACGATAGTTATTGGTACAGTGTTGTTGCTAGTTGACCATTTTATGCCGAAGAAAACAGCCGAGTTTTTTCGAGTAGAAATAAGTATTGGAGACGAGGAAAGATATGATAGTTTAATGTCTTTAAATGTAAGTCATTTAACTGTATTCAGAGGAATTGTAAAGATTTCTTTTTTGCTTTTGTGCATGATTTGTGGATTCCAATTAACCTCCAGATTACTGGTTCCTGGATTAACAGAAAACCGAATATGGCGTCACTTACGCAAGAGGATTATTATTGATATAATTTCTGTATTGTGTTGTTTTCGAAAGTTGATTTGCTCAGAAGCAAAAACGTCGGTTCCAAAGTCAAACCATCAACTAACTGATCGATGTGTCTCCATGCCGTCTTCTAAAATGATTCGTCAGTTCTGATGCCTCTTATCTAAATAAAACAGATCATTGTCAATTGGCGATGTAGATGGATTACGATGTTGCATGTCTGATTGAGACTGAACATTTTATTTTCTGTTAATCAAATTTGAATTATAATATGTTACAGGATCCTGGAAGAAAACAAAGTGTATACACAATCGGTGATAATAGAAGAGCCAGCATATTTTCAACTAATCAGAATAGACGCACATCCATCTTCACAGACACACCCGTGCGTCGTATCTCACCGTCCAGTTGGGGGTCGTCCATTAATCCGAACCAAGCCATCTCTAATCGCTCGACGTCCAGTCCCGCCATCTTCAAATTCGAATCTGACAAAATCGTAGAAGAGGACGAGGAAAATAGAGAGGAGAAGAAAGACAATAACACAAAAGAGCACGTGCATGTTACTATTGACCCAGAAACATCGTCTAATAGTGATAAAGCTTCGGTTGGTGAAAATCACGTGGTTCATATTGAAGACAAGCGATTGGATGATAGTAAAATAACAACGTCACAATATGGCGTCACAACTATTAATATTGGTTCTGACAGAACTTTGAGTCATTCGTCAGATTCCGGAAACGAAGGCTCGGAAAATAATTCATCTTTTCACCAATTGGACGTCCATAGTTTAAATTCAACCACGTGACAATTTTCGAATATTTAAATTTTTGAATTTTCTAATATCGTGATAGTGCGAATGTTGTGATGACTGTTGATGATTGAACCTTGTGCCAAAAAGTGTTCTAATTTGCATAATGGTTTCAAGTGATTTGATTGGTGCTTAAGCTAATAGCGTCAATAGTTTAATGAAGTCACTTGATTGCTGACAAGTGTTTGATTGTTGACTGATTATTGAGATGTAGATTGTGATTGTAGACCAATTGATATAAACGATACTAGACTTTTGAAATGGAGGTCTAGAATATAAGACGATACTACTGAAATCCAAGACATGACAATTTTTTTAACAAGAAACACGGTACCCAGTCCGGGAACTGAAAGGATTCCAAGTCTTATTATACAAGGTTCTTGGTTTATCGAAAAGATTTGCGATCATATTAGTACATTACTGTCTCCTTGCACGTGCTCATTTTGCCTTTTTATTTAATCACGAATTCCCTATTTTAATGACTGTAGATCTTTATATATCTCTCTGGTAAACACCACTGGTTGTGCTGACCTTTCGGTGATATCAGCCTATCTTCAGCATGAAATTAAGTTTTCTCAGCCATATCGATAGATTTACTTTCACTTTATTCTTGATGAACGCAGCTACATTTTCGAATAACCAGTCATATTGTAAATTGATATAATTAAAAAATGATTAATTGGAAACTTGTTGAACAAGACTATAAATAATAATAAAGGAAAGAAGAGACTGGTTAATACGATCTACAGTATTTATTTGTTTTTATTATTGTTGTGATAGTTTAGTTTAAAAACAAAATTATAATATTTTAGAGTTATTCCCCTTTTAATAAATCATTTCTATCTTATTTCACTTTTCCTATGGACATAATCCCACCCCTTACCTTTTGACCTAGAATAAACAGATCTTACACCCACAATCACCATTTCTGAATATCTGAATTTCATTCTAGTGATAAGAGATACTTTTCATAATGACAGTTCTATAACCTGTTCTTCTATGATAAAATTAAGCCTGCTGTAGGCAAAACTGGTGGTTAGAATTTCTCACACGATTTCACTGCGTAGCATTTCTGCCAACATGGTGTTCATTTTGTGGAAGGGTTCATTTCAATTCCGTATCACAATACATGTGATTAAAATTTTGCAGATCGAGGGAGATAACTCTTGATGTGTCATGTTGGAGAAGTCCTCAAGACTATGGCTATGTACTGAGTCATCAGGTAAGGGTAGGCGAGGGCAAATAGGGACCACAGAATTGCCATGGGGAATGATAGTGCCTGGTAATTAAGACACCATAGAGAAATTTGAAACTGGAGTGGGATGGAAGGGATAAACTGCTGCTATTATATTTTATGGACATGAATAATTTCAACTTATTATCAACTAAAAAATATCACATTTTATTGAACAAGAAGGAATAACAGAAAACAGTGGAAAAATAAATTGTAACATATAGTCAAGAGTGTGTGCAATCGACCGAGTACAAAATACTTAAATCTGCCATCAAGCCAATTGGTTATTAATAGAGATAGAGCTTGATAACCGAGACCGGGGTTACATACAGGGAGAGACTGACTTAAACAGGGAGACAACTGTGAAAGCTGAATTCCAAATGCAACATCTCTCTGGTGCGGGCCATAGTCTAGAAATAAAGTGCTTCCCTATACAGTACCACAATTTGCGCCTCCACTGTGGGTTGTTTCTCGAAGGTTGTTTCTCGAGTTGTAGAAGCACGGTAAGCGAATCTGCTGAATAGGATAACGGGATAGATTTTAACGTCATTACCCATAGCGTGCCTGTATCACATAATTCGACACGTGGAGGATTTCTTTTCTGTCCCTTTTGGGACATCGAAGTTGACGTCAGATTCTGTTTCTCGATCTGTGATGCTCGCATTTTCTACATCACTTTCAACTTCGTCATCCGTCTTCGTTTCTGATTCAATGTTATTTTCCTTGGGAGATTCCTCCTTTTCTGTATCACCCAAATCATTCTGAGAAGTTAAGCCCAAGACGGCTTTTTCTGTCTCCTCGCGAGCTGCTTTTTGTTGGGCCAGTTTCTTCTGAATATCCCGATTCGCCATCTTGTAGATCTTCAAGGTATTACCGGGCTTCAGCGAGTCGTTTTTACGAACCATGGATTTTGGAGATTGTGATTCGACAGGCTTTTTCTTTATTCTTGAGAAGATGTCATCTACTGGTGGTTTGGGTTCGGGATAGGACAGAATTGTGTTTACTGCTACGTCAACCGTTGTAACTTCTGCTGATGTGTCACCAGAAACAGATTCATTTGTCGTAGCCGTATGGGGACCTGACATTGATATTGTACTAGTATGGTACTCTGGGACGTCTAATAATAAGTTCCTAGGTTTATTTGTCTGTTTATCTTCCGCCACCATGGATTTGGATTGGTTAATCTGGTCATCTTCAACAGACTTTACACTGATTGTACCCGGAGGCTTCAATGATGGTGATTTTGGAGCAATTTTTCCATTGTTGTTCAAACCAACAATAGTACTCTGTTTCGCACTGACGTCTGAACTTTGTCTCGAGTTTCTATCATTGGTGATCCCTAAACTTTTGTTGGCACTAGCAACAGATCGTTCACTTCCGGTTTTAGAAACAGCATTTCTTGTTTTCAGATTAGAACCATTGTTCTTTAACCAGTTCTTAACAACCTTTTCAGTTTTCAAACCAACATTTCCGCTTTTCGAAACAGTACTTCCGGCTTTAGAACCAACACTTCCGGGTTTTGAAACAGTGGTACTTTTCGAGTTCACAAACGAGTTTGTGTTAGAACTGGTAGCAGACGAGACTAGCGACTCGGAATGATCGGAGGACGTGTCGTCGTGCTTGACTTCAACTATGGGCACAGGTGTCGCAGTTCTGTCACGTGACTTACAACAACAGCAACAGTATCTATCCTCGTCAGTCGTCTCCTTATCTCTCTTGTACCACGCTGGTAGCCCAGTTCCTCTTCCCTTCTTCTTCTTTCTTTTACTTTTAGGCCTGGAATATACAAATGAATGGAGGTGAAATCGAGTTTGACGTCCTACTGTTCTGCATCGCTAAAACTAATAATAGTTTCAAGGCAAAATATTCTCACTGTGAATGATTTAGGAGGCCATTTCACGAATCTTGTTTGTCTACTTCAGCTGTAACTGTGGAGAATTTAAGAATTCTTGGCTTTGAAGTAGGATTTTGATTTAAATAAGCAAATGTTATATGGCGATATTGAAATTTATTAAATAGATTTCAACTTACACAATATTTTGATCACAGATACAAACATGAGGTACGGGATTTTTACTGCAGGGTTTTCCTTCTGTTTGGTTTCCACGGTTCTGAAAAATTCAATTTGGAATGAAAAATTTGAACAGAATAGCAAAAAGCCATTATTTCAATCATATCAACTACTTGACTGGTATTTTAGTCAAAACGTCAATTGTTGATAATTTAACTCACCCATTGTTTCCATAGTAACCGATTTTCCTCTAAATTTACCGCATGTTCTTGTAATAACATATTCGTCTCAATCACCTTCCACATGGGTTTGTCTTTCTCCCCTACCCCACTAGCCAGATACAATTCTTCTCGTAGGTTATGGTTGATAAAGGCGTTGATGAGTTCGAGTCTTCTCTCTAATTGGTATTCACCTGAAACGATATACAGTTTAGTAGACAATATTTCATTCATACGAAATATAAGAATCATGGTAAAATAGCTCGACAACGCAGACACAACCAAGCCACTCAAAATGATAGATTTGATGTCATCAAGGATAGAGTCAGACACAAAATGTTGTATAATATGGGAGCTGATCCGACCAATTTTTTTAGTCGGTAGTTTTTACGAATTTTACCATGACAAAAGCCAAATTTGCTATAACTGTTAGCATCAATAGAAAGCTGAACTATTTAATGAGTCCATTTATACATTTCCAGATAGTCTACAATATCGCTGCCGATATCACATCTGGGGAACTGGGGAGGACTAGAGATGTCGGCTATAGGTATAGGTGTAGGACTTAATGATAGGTAACATAAGTATATTAATTGGTTAATCCACTGAATACACCCAATTGAAGCTACCCGTGACACTTTTCAGAATTGAAATCAGATGTCGTGTAAGTTTGTAACCAAAGTAATAAAGGATGGGAGTCAAATTAAAAGATCTATCAATTGTAAAAGGAATATTTAGAAAACTTTAATCTGATTCACCAAAGCATTAATGAGTGAATGAATGAATAAATGAATGAATTTATGGAATGGAATGGAATGAATGAATGTAGAGTTACTTGAATGAATGAATGTATGAATGAATGAACGAAATAAATGACGATCCTTACTTCTTACTACTCTGTATACAGCATTCTTAAATCGAGATCGAGCTTTTGTCGCCGCCATCTTGGATATAGCAACAGGCTGTTGATTAAAAACGAAGCAAAACTTCAAACTTTGTAAACGAGGACGAATAATAACACAAAACTCTTATACCATTCGATATTTTAGTTTACACCTAATGATTAATCTTGCCAGTTTATTGAAGTGTTTTTTCACGTGATTAATTTGCATCTATATTTATTTTGTATTCGAGAGATCCGCTTGGTTCCACATTTCTACAACATTTAATGAAAAATGTATTATGTACGAGCAAAAGAAAGAAGTACAATGTTTAAAAAATCTAGATCACTGAATAACAATGCACACAAAGATATCTGCTTGATGGTTGGTATGAATAACTGACAATCCATAAAACTGTGAAAGGCAAAATCCTAGGAATATAAGTCGACAGCAGCCCCAGACGATTGGGTGTCATTTAAAATCTAGCAGGCAACACGGTCACAATATAACAATTTATCAGAATGTTTTAACAAAAGATAGATTCAGGGCTACGGATCCTTCAAGCTTTATCACACACGAAATCAAGATATCACGAATGCTCACAAATCTGCTTTGGAGAAACAAATTTCTCCAGAACAACAGATCTACAATTAGTAACAATCAGAATATTCTAGAAACATTGAGTCTTCAGGTCTATTAAAGAAAATAGAAATTCGCTAAAACACCAAATCTACTGGATCAAATTCACAACATATCACAAGTAAGTTCATTAAGAGCCCAAAATGGTAATATACTATCTTGGTCTACTAGACCAGTCAAGTTGTTGACCGAATGGACATAAACCCAGTTTCCATCTAACAAGACACATGAATAATAGAACTGCCTTTAGTCTGTCCCTCAGAATCAGCTATCACTGCGGCCATTTACTCGTATAATACATGGAAACCAACTCGACAACACTTTCGTTCCCTCAACAACCGTTCCGCAATATTCCCCACCACAAAAACATTGGCATATCGTCACGGTCAATAAGTAACGTATTAATAAATAAATAACAACATGAGAAAGGTTCCTGTTTCAATATCAAACGTCAATGACTCGTCAATGTCTCGTAACGAAGCCATATCTTTAACTTAGGGGAATTAGAAGAGAAGAGAAGAGAACAGCAGAGGAGAGGAGAGGAGAGGAGAGGAGAGGAGAGGAGAGGAGAAGAGAAGAGAAGAGAAGAGAAGAGAAGAGAAGAGAAGAGAAGAGAAAAGAAGAGAAGAGAGCAGAGGAGAGCAGAGGAGAGCAGAGGAGAGGAAGAGAGGAGAAGAGAAGAGAAGAGAAGAGAAGAGGAGAGGAGAGGAGAGGAGAGGAGAAGAGAAGAGAAGAGAAGAGAAGAGAAGAGAAGAGAAGAGAAGAGAAAAGAAGAGAAGAGAGCAGAGGAGAGCAGAGGAGAGCAGAGGAGAGGAAGAGAGGAGAAGAGAAGAGAAGAGAAGAGAAGAGGAGAGGAGTGGAGAGGAGAGGAGAAGAGAAGAGAAGAGAAGAGAAGATAAGAGAAGAGAAGAGAAGAGAAGAGAAGAGGAACAGAACAGAACAGAACAGAAGAGAACAGAAGAGAAGAGCAGAAAAATAAGAAGAATAGAATAGAATCGAACAGAAGAAGATTTAACAGGAGAGGATTTAACAGAACAGAAGAGAATTTAACAGAACAGGAGAGGATTTAACAGAACAAGAGATGATTTAACAGAACAGGAGAGGATTTAACAGAACAGGAGAGGATTTAACAGAACAGGAGAGAATTTAACAGAACAGGAGAGAATTTAACAGAACAGGAGAGGATTTAACAGAACAGGAGAGGATTTAACAGAACAGGAGAGAATTTAACAGAACAGGAGAGAATTTAACAGAACAGGAGAGGATTTAACAGAACAGGAGAGAATTTAACAGAACAGGAGAGAATTTAACAGAACATGAGAGGAATTAGCCTGTTAGCTGGACATCTCAATCACATCTATCACCAGAAAACAACAAAATACTTACGAACATTCTGAAGAGGTATCTCAAAGGTCTTCTCGTTGACTTCCGGTACGGTCTTCGGCTGGTTTCTAAGATACCTCATCCTGTGTGGACGTCTCGTCACTTCCGGTGCCTCTGTCATCTTTAGTTTTGTAGCCTTAGTACCAATATGATTACAATCTCTCACTATTATTTTCTATTAACATCAAGGATATCTGCCAATAAAAAACCGAAGTATAACGATCCGAAATCCGAAACCCGAAACCCAAAACGAAAAACAACAGTACATACAACTTTTCATATAAAGAAGTATATCAATTATAAATGAGTAAGTGTTTCAAATAAAAAGTTGTATCAGGTGCCTAGAAAACTACGCATACCCTGCTTGGCTTCACATCCGTCATTGCAGCTCACACAAAAATGGAAATAAAAGAATTTAGTGCTAGATTATCTACCTTGATTTCTGTTGTCACGCGGTTATGATTCTTAGAGCTTCAAATTCTTATCATTCTCCTCGATTACTGTTTTTTGTTTTATGAAATCGATGCAATGTGTAACACTGTGTACAATGCATCTTCACATGTCGAGCTATTCGGTATAACGGCAGATAGACAATAAAACATCGTGTAATTGAGGGCTCTAATTGACTGTATTCGTTTATGTACAGTCCAATCAAATCGCCACATTTACAAACTTCCGTGATGCAAGAAAAGTGCGTCATGATGTCACAGGCAAACATAAAATAATCTAATGGTAACATTACTTTGGAACTTTGAAATCAACAAAATAAAAACGGAGAATTTTAACGCAATAAGGACTGAAACTATATCCGAGTACATCACCTTACATCAAAGTAAAGATAATATTTTACACCAGAGACTTTTTCAAAACAGTAAGAGTTTGATCTGTTATATTAAACCACTCTGGAGATTTGAAATGTTATTAAAAATATATTCATTTTTAAAGTGTATTGAGAAATCTCCAATATCAGTAAATTATTCAACGTTTCTCTCTGTTAAATTCAAATAGTACATTTGTCAGAGTGAAATAAACACTATAGAAGTTGTTCGCTACATCCATTTCAACAATGGAACCTGAGTCATGTAATGTGCTAACAAATTATCGTGTCCTAGTAGCATGAAGATCGTTATACTCTGTTGGGTACTTTATACATTGTTTAGGTCCTGGTTTTTTCAACAGTCCTCTCGGGCCAGTCACCGAATTTGGTTAAATTAAAAAAAAGCTAATAAAAACAGACCGAAAGTTTGTTTTAATCTAAGAATACCCTTCACCTATAAGAACTTAACTACAAACTACCTGCTAGAAAGAACATACAAAATAAAATACATATTCTTCAGTGGACTTACCTAGTAATACATCAATAAATCTGAAAAATATAACTTCAAGAAACAGTCCATCAAACTACATGTAAAAGTTATCAGCGGAAAACCCTTACAATATTGCACGACAGCACTCAACTATAATGAAAATATTTCGTTGATAAGATTACTCCTTGGTTGATTTGAAACACATAGAAAGTTTTTCACATCTCTGAATCCTTACAATGTTTACCCAAAGCTACAGAGAACTGTTCTGCCCGGTAACAGTTTCAGTTATCATACAGTTTTCAGCAACAATAACTACTTCTGTTCTGTCTACAATAGCAGTTTTTCTCGGTTGTCTTTACTTATAATAGTCAATTCTAAATACTTACAACAATAGTTTATACATTGATCTGAAAGGATGGTTTAATGGTTTATTATTTTAGATGAGGTCCGTGTACTATTTGTTCTCACTGTCCTGTATACTGAGCTAGAGATAAATAAATAAATAATGCTCGACACATTCAATTTCAATAATACGGGGAAATTGTATTGGAGTAGTTGTTTTGCACGTCGGAGGACGATTTAAAATCATAAACAAGAACAGTCCATTCCGTTTTGAGGTATAATAAGTATATATTCAAGCTATGCAAGTCAGGCATTGATCTTCATCATCCAGCCCCTCTCTGTCTATGAGTCTGGGCGTCAGAGGCTAATCAAGCAAAGAATTCATTAACAATTGATTATATTATCTAACATGTTAATGGAATCTCGAAATGCAGAAATAACAATAATGACTTGTTTAGCTTACGTTGTGAATCCCATAAACATATTGAATGAAATATTAATACGCTTGTATATTGCATAAACAGTATAGCTATGTCTCTGATATCATCAAATAAACCTTCGTGGAAGCTCTGAGTTGACCAACCTATGTATCTAATATATGATATCATATTATGTCGATCCTCCTTAATGTATGTCGAGTTGACAAACCTAAATACAAAATAAACATAATTAGCTATGTGAACTCTCTGAAAGGGATGCATAGTTGACAAACCTAAATACCATTTAAACATTATTAGCTATGTGAACTCTCTGAAAGGGATGCATAGTTGACAAATCTTAATACAAAATAAACATTATTAGCTATGTGAACTCTCTGAAAGGGATGCATAGTTGACAAATCTTAATACAAAATAAACATTATTAGCTATGTGAACTCTCTGAAAGGGATGCATAGTTGACAAATCTTAATACAAAATAAACATTATTAGCTATGTGAACTCTCTGAAAGGGATGCATAGTTGACAAATCTTAATACAAAATTAACATTATTAGCTATGTGAACTCTCTGAAAGGGATGCATAGTTGACAAATCTTAATACAAAATAAACATTATTAGCTATGTGAACTCTCTGAAAGGGATATCCAATTCATAAACTCGTACCCCAGCAGTGCCCTGGAAGGGACTTTCTGCTACCGTTTCCAGAATAAAAACTTCTCTAAGTGATAAAAGATGAAGGCCTATTGTCTGGTTTAATACAATATATAGTTTTATGTAACATGTCATACAAGTAGGTAGAAATCGCTTACAATTCTGTCATTTACTCAGATAACAATAGTCAAATCGGTGCTTCAATAGAAATACACGACAAGTATACCCATTACTGCAACCGTCTCAAGTTTTCAATATTACATGATGAAGCCCTATCGATCTGTTCAAGGGATTGTAAAGAGATTTTCTAAATTTTTTATGTGTATCGGGGACACTGAAAGCATCAATTCTAACCATTCCAATTTTCAATCCGACGTCTAACTAAAATTATAAGTGTTTGATGACGTCTCTAATTGCGAAGAGTCTTATGTCATAAAGGATATTTTGCGATTAGCGATATCATCAAACACCGAATTTAGAGATACTGCAGGAACCACAGACGTCTGACTGAAAATTGGAATGGTGTAAATTGATGCTATAATGGCCCCGATACACATAAAATATTTAGAAAACCTCTTAACAATCTCTTTAACAGTCAATATGTAAGTAGTCTTATCAACAATGGCATTATGTAGTTAAGGGAGATACAAGACAAAGATTATATTATTTAAGATGAATAATTATTATACGTTAAGTATATACTTCAACATAGTTGGTAATGTTCTAATTAGTCAAGCAGTACTTATATCAACTTGAAATTAAAAAGAATAGAGTTTCTTGTCCTACTTTTTCTATGTCTGGTGAAAATGGACAACGGCTTGCAGTGTTCAACGAGGGACACGATGAATAGCTAATTAAATGTTAAGAATGTACTTCAAGATAGTTTGTAATGTCAAGCAGTGTGTCCATGAATTTGAAATAAAAAAAAATCAGTTTTTTTGTCCTACTGTTCTATACACATTTTCTATTGTTCTAATAAACAGGGCATCGACATGCAGTGTGCAATGAGGGAAATTTTGCCATGATGACATCATCTGATAAATAGATTATAAATGAGAGTGCTAATGTTAAATGAACTTTAAGACAACAGAATATGTAACTGCCAAGGAGTTAAGGAGTCACACTTCCTTTGCCTTACAGAATACGTACAAAATGACGCAAAACTCTATCTCAATTCTCTAACTGATGTCTCAGTGGCTTAAGGTGGATTTATACTTCTGACGCCGTCATCGCCGTAATAAGTAAGTGGCATAATAGTAAAACTAAATAAGTTAACTGATACAAAGTAATACAAGGCGACGAGAGAGTGAACAACAATAGACAATAGAGAAGAAGAACGTGAATCTGATATCCTCGTGTGGAATTTATTATCAGGAGTAAAGAATCTAGAGATATCAAACTAACAGGTGCGTGTTTTATTTCCCGAATCAATAAACAGACCAAGTTCTTCCTGATTTGGAATGATATACATCTCCAGTGATTGCACGTTTCTTGTCCTGACCAAACTGTGTAAAATCAACTCACTACCTCTAAATATTGTTGTTATTTGAAATGGTATTAACGTTTCGACACGGATTCGTTAACAAACATATAAACACTGTTAACATATAGAAATCTTGAATCTGACCTCCTACTTTTCAGAAGATATGAAATAAAATCTTGTTTGTATCGAACTCCTGATATCAGTATGCGACGAGCTTTGTAAACCCGGTTTCCCTTTCAGATATAGCCAGTATTGTATATTTGGTATAGTTATTGGATTTCAACTTAAATTAGTTTATTTCAAGTATCAAATTTGCAAACTACAAAACTACACTGTTCAATTTGTTGGGATTTTTTTCTAAGTAAAAAAAGGAA